CATGGTACTTTTATGGTCTTGTTTTTTGTAAGTTTTGAACTCATTTTTTAAACATAATTAACAAATGATTGCTATTATAAATTATATGTATAATCAGTGAATTAATTGCTTTAGAAAGTGAATGTACATAAAACACATTACAAATAAAAGACATATTTTTAATAAGAATTTCTTATTTAAAGAGCTGTTCGAAAAGTACTTGGACTGTAATTTTCTCGAAAACTAGATTAAATAAAAATAATTTAAAAATATACTTTTTTCGTATTTTCATGGTCTTCCTTTTCCCGAAGACACAGATATGCTACTGTAAAGGGCTGGTATGGGGACTGGTACCTGGTCTAGAACAAAAACTATACGTCCTAGAGGGAATTTAAGTACACCATTCGCAAGAGCGTCAAAAAATACGGATACATGCCCCTAATGGATTTTCTCTATAATAAATAGTTTTTGGCCAGGGAGGACGGCTATACCATTAAAACTGAGTTTTAAATATCTTTCTTTAGAAGGAAGAGGAATTGGAATATATCAAAGTTATGACATGGAAAATGCAGGAAATTCAATCCTATTTCATATAAAAATTTGAAAAATAATTTGTTAATATATAGCACCGGGAGGAAAGGTAGATTTACTATAGATTTACTATAGATCACATACTAAATCTAATTACTGGGTTAGATAGTGTTTCGAAAATGAACAAGATTCACATTTAAAATTTTTCAATTATCATTACAAATAAATGTGCTATAGCTGTTTAAAATATCTCATTTTCCATTGATAGATGCCATTGAAAATAATCATACAATACATAACTGTTTTCAATGGCATCTATCAATGGTAAATGAGATATTTTAAACAGCTATAGCACATTTATTTGTAATGATAATTGAAAAATTTTAAATGTCCCTCAAGAGCACATCTTGAGCTCTATCCAACTCACAAATTAGATTTATGCTAAGACTTGTAGTTTTCCCGCTATAAAATACATCCCTTTCCTCCCGGTGCTACAAATTAACAAAATATATTTAATTTTTATATGATAGAGAATTACATTCACTACATTTTCCATATCATAACTTTGATATATTCCAATCCCTCTTGCTTCTAAAATTATTTAAAACTCAGTTTTAATGGTATAGCCGTCCTCCCTGGCCAAAAACTATTCATTATAAAGAAAATTCATTTGGGGCATGTATCCGTATTTTTTAACGCTCTTTTTAATGGTGTACTTAAATTCCCTCTAGGACTTATAGTTTTGCCCATAGACCAGTTACCAGTCCCCATACCAGCCCTTTACAGTAACATATCTGTGTCTTAGGGAAAACGAAGGCCATGAAAATACGAAAAAAGTATATTTTTAAATTATTTTTATTTGATCTAGTTTTCGAGAAAACTACAGTCCAAGTACTTTTCGAACAACTCAATACAATGATGTCTGACATTTGTATCATATCTATAGATATATGGTATTTATATATTGTAATCAAGTAAAGCGCTGTCAATAAAATACAATTACGTTTGAGTCGCGATAATTAAAAAAATTATATCTATTTATTTATAGCTAATTTTTATTAATAACAGTAGTTGCAAATAGTTTTGTATTTAATTATACTGTATTACAAAAAAAATATTAATTTTTATTTAATAACTAAATATTCATTTTCAATGACCTTATGTTTGGGAATTGAAAAGCAATTAATATTTTGAATAATAATTGTTATTATGAAGGACTCGGATAACCCTATTGTCGCATAAAATAATTATACTGTATTTAGTTTTCATTTGTTTGCGGTTTTAAAAGAAAAACTATTTTATAAACTACTCTAAAATCAAATACTACTTTATTAATAGTAACTTTATTATCATAGTATCATTATTAATAAGTTTGTTAACATTAAATATAATCCCGGTGCTCATACTGTATATTCCGGTGTCTGACCCTCACTTATACAGTACTTATGATAATCAACTGATTAATTGCTATAATGTTTGACAAACCCTTCAATAAATGATAATCAATACTAAATTGCCAAACAATACATTAATAAACACATATAAAACTTCTTACACACAAAGTGTATGATTGCTAAATGTTTATGAAATCTGAAAACACTATAATATATTATAACTAAATTAATTCCTAAGTTATTGGCAATGATAGCGACAAAAACAAGTATATATACAATATTTTTCTCGACTCACTATTGATGTGAATATTAAATATAATATGTTTTAACAAATATATAGCCAAAACATAGGGTGCAATAAATTGTCAAATCATTGTAAATCAAATCCAATGGCTTTCATATCGTCATCGCCTTAACAACAAGTGATGATAAAAACTTTAGCCAATAATAAGCACTTCATATCATAGACTAGATCTGTATGTGTGTTGTGTAACACTCCTGTTATTACCTGTATTTTCAGTCAACATATATACGACAGGTATAGCTAAGTAATACAAACCGAGTAGACAATCGCTGTATAAAAACATGTATTCCTCATAACAATAGACAAAAAAGCGACAAAAATATATCAATTTTTTTCTGTTAACTCATCCAAAAATTCATATAATAATAGTATTTTGTATAACAAATATATATTAAACTCAGAAATGGCTGTTGGTTGCGGTGGATCTGTGATTAAAATTGTATTATTCGTGTTCAACTTCATCTGGGTGGTAAGTATTAGCAAAAAGTTTTTTTATAAATAAAATAAGTTATTCTTACATTTCATATAAAATTAATACTATAATAAAAAGTTTTAAACTCAGATTCTGTGAATATATTATTAGTTGTCAAAAATGACAGGTTATTACAATTGTTTAAAAATACTGTGATTTATAAGAGACATATAATATATGAGGAAATAAATATTAACTCAATGGACAGACATCTCAGAAATATTTGATAAAAATGTTGTGTTATATAATATTTTATATATGAAAAAATCAATTGTGTTAACAGTAATAGCAATGCAACAGATTGTTGTTTAGCAACTGATATGTGAAAGTGATTTATACTATACAGTACAGTAGCGTACAGTACTATACAGTACGGTATACATTACATTAAACAAAAACACATATAAGTTATTTACATAATTAATTTTAATGACAATAATATACGATAGTTATGTGGGGCGGCCATCATATACCTGGGCGTTCGGGTTATCCTAAAATACACACCCGATGTGACTGATGTGGTGAAAGAGACCCCGGCGTTTGTACCCATTTTTATACACAATATATCATTGCAAACAAAAAATTGTTTACCAAAAAACACATATTTAATAAGTTTTGACGGTATTAAACATAGCTTATCTAATTAAAATACACTTTATATTAACTAACTATTTACAAACAAAAACAATTTTTTGTTTTTCATAAAAGTGTTAATCTAGAAAAATTAATTATAAACTTGGTAAAAATTGCAAACAATAGGTATTCAGCGATAGTGCTGTTAGTGGCGGGAGGGCTCATACTAGTGGTCAGCTTTTTAGGCTGTTGTGGTGCTATCCGTGAGAGCTATTGTATGCTTAACACCGTATGTATACTACAATATTCTTGATATTCATATATCACTACAATATCATTCATACCATTAATTGACACACCAATGGACAGTACGGCGGACTCGTATTCCTATGTCTGGCAGCACAGGGTGTCGGCGCTTATATGGCCATCAAATACAACCACGATGTTTGTTATTTGTAATATACATGTACTGAAATGACTCTGATGACACTTCTCACTGAAATAGTTGGAGCAATATGTGAACAAAGGCATTAAGTCGGCACTGGATGCCTACAAATGGGAGTTAGCCGAGGATGAGGCGACTAATCGTGCCATCAATGAGTTCCAGAAGCAGTTGCAGTGCTGTGGAGGCAAAGACAGATACGACTGGAACGGTGTTTATGGCAAACCAGAGGGTTAGTCATATTAGTTAGCTAGTTCATATTTGCCATCAATGTACAGTATGTGTTGTATGTTTTAGGACTATTCCCGGGGTCATGTTGCAAGGATAATGCTAGTAAAGTGGATGGCAGGTGCATCGAAAGCAATACCTGGGTATAATTTGTTTCATTTACATTTTATTGACAGTTATAATTAGTTTACAAAACTTTTTTTTACACAATTAATATCAGGATAAGGGCTGCACTAAAGCCCTAATCGACTACATGAAGCTATATCTCGGAAGTTTAGGTGAGACTCATATCATAATACTATAATAAATCATACATTTCTAGTCATAAATACGTGTAAAATGAGTGAAAATCGTGTGATTTGTATGAATGAGATGTCATTTCATATTTATTTTACACTGTTTTGTAGGCTATATAGCCATCGGCGTGGCTGTGGTGGAGATCCTGATCGTCATATCTGCCTGTTGTCTGTCCCGTGATATCAAGAATAAATACGCCACGTATTCCAACCCCAAGGCCCGGGCCTAGAGCACCGGTATGTGTACCCAACGGTATGGTCTACATGTATCATATAGCGAGCCTACAATTAACACACGTTTTTAACTTAACTCTAAAAATATTATATACTTTTAAATAACTACGAGAATTGACTGTAATTTACACATTAGTATAGAGTATATATAAATAGTCGATAACTAGGGCTGCATTTAATTGACTCATTATTATCTCGACTTAATGTATAACTTATGAAAACAAATGTTTGTTTTTTTTGTTCATATTTCGACACAAAGTTTTTCTCATTATTATTATTATACCGATAAACAAAACTCTTATTCAATACATTTTATAAATAATTACCAAGTTTATTTATGCGTTCATTTAATAAAATACAAATTAAGCGTTAAATTAAATATAAAAATGAAACTAAAAAATCACTTAATTATACACAAAATAAACAATCAATTCATCAATGATTTAGTCATCCGTTGCACACAATTGGTGTCATTTGCTATGAAATACTTGTCATAATTCACTGAAAATCGTGTAAAAACTGTGGATACAGTTCCCCACCAAACCATTCAATGCCTACTCCGATGACCCCTCGAATGACTACTTCTTTCCGGTGATGAATGCCTTCGATGTCTACTATAATCGTCTCTATTATCCCTTTTATGATCACTTTTACGGTCTCTATCGTTATACCTATCCCTATGTCTGTCCCGATCCCTACCCCCTCTATCATCCCTATCCCTATCGCCATACCTCTGTCTCTGCCTATCGGTAGACCTACTTCTCGATCGCTTCGCCCTTTTGCTCCTATGGTGTAGCTCCCTATCATCCTCTACCCTATCAGGCGATCTGTTCCCAGTCTCAGCTCTGGTAGGCTTTCCCTGTCTCTCATCATAAACATAATCATACTTCGCGTCCAATCGCTGTCCAAACGCCGACTTTTTCAGCACAAACCTGTCCTCCCGTTTATCGCCACCACTATTCCCATCCACGAAATCCTTGACTACCGTCCCTCCCTTTCCCTTCCCGAACCACTTGATTTTGGACACGGATTGGCTGAAGTCCACGTGAATCCTACGATCATCTATGAGCACATTATCCATCTTGAAGTAGGCCTTCTCGCAGTCGGCCTCCCTCTCGAACTCCACGAACGCGTACTGAAGACTTTCACCACTCTTCTGATCCCTAATCACTTCACACGAGACTATACTCCCGAACCTCGAGAAGATCACCTCCAGGTCCTCCTCGCGGGTCACGGGATTCAGTTTGCAGACAAACAGCACGTTCTCCGGGGGCTTGACGTCGGCGTCCGGTATGTCGCCCACCATTTCCAGGACGAGCGCCCGCTCTTTGGCCTCGCGATCGCGGATCAGTTCGTCGATCTCTTCGGCGGTCATGCCGTCCGTGTCGTCTACGTCTTCGGCGACACCGATTCGATGCGATTTCAGTAGCTCTCCGGTCAGTTGCGGGGATTGCGGAGGGATTTCCAGACCTATGAGTGTGACCACCGATTGAGACGTAAGATAATTATGAGTCAGATATCAATGCAAATCACGAGAGAGAGAGAGAGAGAGAGAGAGAGAGAGACTGCGAGACTGTGAGAGAGATATACTGTAGACACAAGACATACCCTCCGGATGAGGGAACGGATCCTCGAGTATCACCGTATGTGTGATGAGTATGTCTTTGAAGGGCCTGTTATTGCCATCACATAAGGCATCATTGAGCTGATCCAACACATCCATACCCTCCGTCACACACCCGAAGACAGTGTGAACGCCATCCAAATAATCCAAACCGTCAGCCAATGTAATGAAGAACTGCGAGCCGTGAAGACCCTCTCCATTGTTAACCATAGACACCAAACCCTTGCGCCGGTGTTTGATCACCGGTTTGGTCTCCATCTCAAACACCCGGGCGTTCTCGCCGTACAGGTGGAGGAACACCGAGTGTCCACCTTTACCATCACCCGTGGGATCCCCTGTCTGTGCCATGAAGTTGTGTTGAATGGTGTGAAACGTGCAGAAGTTATAGTACTTGAGTTGACACAACTTCAAGAAGTTGAGACAACTTCGAGGCCTCTCGCGGATAAACAGATCCACTGTTATGTCACCGATCGTGGTCTCGATCACCACTGACATCGTGTGTATGTCTTGAGGTCAGTGGTGGTATCAAAGGGTGTCCAGTGATGTGGTGGTAGTATTGGTGGTGACTGTAAACGTTGGGATCAATTGCCGGTGACTACTGACATCGTGTGTGTCTCGGAGTGTGTGTATGTCTTGAGGTGATTGGTGTGTCACTTGAGCTGATCCAACGATGCGATGGACGATACGATCGGTGGTTAACGTTGGGATCAATTAGCGGTGACTTTTAGGGTAAAGTTTTTGTTGACTTTTATTTGATTTTTGAATTGCATTTGTGTTGCTGTTTATAAACGTGTGATTAGTTTGTAGTCAATGTGTTATTCGATTCAATGGTATGATGTCTACAAATTGTGCGCATATTCTGTACGCTATGTGTGTTGTATAGCGATTAGACAGCAGAGGGCACCGCTATAGCAGTGTTATCCCAATGGGAATGAAATTAAGCTTGGTAATTGCTGTGATAATCATTTAAAAATTAGTATTAATGTTATTGTTACCGATATTTGAGTGCATTTATAGTATTCAATAGAAATTTACTATTTTTTGTAAATTTTTAAAACTATTTTTCGGTATAACTATATATCTATAAAGATAAGTTTAATCAAAGTTTTATTGCAAATTATTTAATATTAGAAATATGATCGAGGTTAATATAATTAAATTATATTCTGGTTTTAAGTCTTAATATATGAGACCAAAGTCCGGGGTTGAGATAACCAGATGTCGGAACCATTGACTGATAATTACGCCGAGTTTGTGGTGAATATGGTGTTGAATACCAGCCCTGCGTTGAGTACATAGGGGTAAGGATTGAAAGGGTTGACTGAATGCTAATGAGGGTCGGGAGGGCTACCGGTGCCTTAACCCCTAGTAGTGGTCACACAATGAGTTCCCAAACGGCTGTCCACACGCGAACACGAGTCCATACATTCATAGGGAAATAGTTTATACAAACTTTTTCAATGAGTTTACGAGACATAAGATTAAAATAAATTTAATTCGAAACTAATGAATAGTATTTAAATATAAGATTAAAACAATTCAAACAATGATTACACGGACTTTGCATAAGAAAATCTATGTTTGTATGGTATGATAGGTAGACCAGGAGCTCCGGGATCTCACTTATAGATGAGATTTGGTGTACGAAACCCCCCACCGAAAAGGGAAAGGGTGTGGATAGGAGTGTAACCGCAAACACATTGGGAGGTCTGAGGGCTACTGAGCACAGGATCTCGTGTTTTGGTTGATCTCATCGTAAAGACTTCGCGGATAATCACCACCCGATGGGCCGCCAATAAAGTGGATGAGCTCACTGTGTGTCGGGTCTGTATTTACTTGCAATTATCATTAGGCTGTCCCTCGAGTGACAAATCGGAAGCACTTATAGCCACCAAAAATGCTGATGAAAATCACAATTAAATACAAAAAAAGCTAAACTTAATTACTAGAAACCATTTGAAAATAGAAAAAGTAAAAAACAAATACAAAAATAATTTTTGTCGAAAGTATTGATAAGTATATAAATATTGAAATTGTGTGCCGGATTAATATGCTTGTTAATTTAGTATTGAATGACTGGACAAATATTATAAATTATAATATTAATGACAATTGTATCGCATTGCTCCCAATTGTTTTCATATGTAAATAGGATTAACATAATATTAATTATATTTCCTAATCATGGCATTAGTAGTGCAATAATTATTGATTTGAATAATTTAATCATTTAAACTCACATTTAATTAGTAAATAAAATACATAATATTATTCGTGATAAAATGGGAGCTTTTGATTGAAAATATGTTTAATTTCCTTATAAATTATACCCATAAAGTCACTGACATGTAAATCAATATTTAGCAAGCATTCAATTTTCCCATATTAAATAAATTTAAAAAATACTTTTTGATTTTAAATATTAAGTTATTAATAATAACTTATTATATTAAAAATTATACTTATTAATTTAAACATACATGAATACTTACAGTAATGATACTGTAACATACAGTAGTAAAATGCTAATTGTAAAAATACTTACATATGTATAATAATTTAATAAATTGTATAAATTGTTTATATTTATTTAAATATAAAATGGCATACAGAAAATATTAAATAAAAATTTTGCTAAATACTAAAACACACCGACATTATACACTAACTTTATAATAATAAACATTTAGCATATATACCACACTTCAGTGCTATACCTAATTTAATTAAAATCATGAACAACTGAAATACCTTACTATACGGTAGTATTAAAATCAATAAAAACTTTAATATAACGCAAAAACAAAACTTATTTAATTAAAATCATACATTAATCCC